CCCGTCCATGTGTATCTGCCAGTATCTCTCACCCGTCCATGTGTATCTGCCAGTATCTCTCACCCGTCCATGTGTATCTGCCAGTATCTCTCACCCGTCCATGTGTATCTGCCAGTATCTCTCACCCGTCCATGTGTATCTGCCAGTATCTCTCACCCGTCCATGTGTATCTGCCAGTATCTCTCACCCGTCCATGTGTATCTGCCAGTATCTCTCACCCGTCCATGTGTATCTGCCAGTATCTCTCACCCGTCCATGTGTATCTGCCAGTATCTCTCACCCGTCCATGTGTATCTGCCAGTATCTCTCACCCGTCCATGTGTATCTGCCAGTATCCCTGTACGGTGACGTCATTCCAGGCGAGTTCCCCCTCGAAATATTGGGGGTCGTAGCCCCCCAACATAAGCTCGCCCCCCACGCTCGAATTTTGGTTCCTGAAATAAGAAAAAATATATAAATTATTTTTTCATTTCTGGTTATTTATCAATTTTTTAACAATAAATAAGCAAATATAACAAAAAATCGAAGATATTCGTTGCAATTTCATACATTTTTATTCAGGATAGTAAAAAAATCTATTGAAATGAATAAATTGACCGAAAACAGAAGTTTTATGTTTGAATTTCTTATTAATATATTATATTTATGTACAAATTATATAATTAAATGGCTAACCTGTTGTTGCCCAACTAACCTGTTGATGCCAACTAACCTGTTGATGCCAACTAACCTGTTGATGCCAACTAACCTGTTGATGCCATCTAACCTGTTGATGCCAACTAACCCTGTCTCTTATACACATCTAGATGTGTATAAGAGACAGAGTCGGTACTGGGCCCAAGCAAGGCCATGGCCCCACTATGGCCCCCTCACCCACCAGGTACTCGGACCCCACGAGGTGTATGGCCCCCTCATCCACCAGGTACTCGNAACCTGTTGATGCCAACTAACCTGTTGATGCCCAACTAACCTGTTGAGGTAGAAGGAGAACAGGTTCTGGGGCACCTGCCCCTGGTCGTTGAGGGTATTGAAGACAGGTCGGATGCCGTTTACAGCGATGCTTGGGTACCCCATGCCCAATATGCCATCGAAGGCCGCCGCCACGAACGTAACTGATGGTTCCTTGATGGCCTCAGCGAACAGTTGGTCCTGGGCGAAGTACCCACCGAACTGCACGAAAGTGGGTCAAGTTAAGTGGTTACCCACTTTTTCTAGTCAATGCACGTTAATCACAAAAATTGATGGGTAATATTGCCCGAAGAATGACCCGTTTTATCACCCAAAGCTCGAGCAGAGAGCGGACGTAGCACTGATAAGCCCTTGGTCGGACCTAACTGGCTCAGGATGACGCACAAAATGGGCAATATGTGCATCGCTATTTGGATAATGTTTCAATAATTTCTCTGAGTTTAGGTAAAAAAAGCATTTAATTCATATAGCCCAAAGGGTTTACATAGCCCATAAAAGAGTCATAAAGTCTTTAAAGGGTTTGTAGCTGTTCGAAATTTAGGCTCCATTTTGGGCCGCCCCACAGTCTATCGAGTTTATGTCAAACAATGCTTGCTAAGTCTACGGACAACAATGCTAGCGAAATGACGGAAAGCCAATTTCCTTTTCGGCGCTCGGGATGTATTTAATTTTAAATATTAAACATAAGAATTTATATTTGTATTTATTATATACTCGACAAAATCAGATCAAGTTTAAAGTTCTTAGAGCATGTTATCAAAATTGCAGAGCTCTGCAGCTGTTCGCATAGTAATTTCTGCAATACGAAAGAAATATGTTTATCGTATTTTTTTTAATTGAATATGGAATACATTTTTGAGTTGCAGTTCACGTTCAGTCGTGCGGTACGCGGGTAGTGTTTTACTTTCAGTGATCATGAGTTATGTGATTCATTCCCGTTTTGGTTCATATATAAAATTTTAAGAGTTTATTGCATACTAGTAACTGATTAGGGCAAGTTTACTGTTACAAAGAAATCGTTACATAAAATTGTTTACTTGCACCTAGATGATGTAGTTCATATAGCCCTATGGGTTTATATAGCATTTAAAGGGGTTATAAAGTCTTCAAAGGGTTCATATAGCCCTTAAAGGAGTCATAATGTTGTTAGAGGGTTCATAAAGCATTTAAAGGGGTTATAAAGTCTTCAAAAGTTTCATATAGCCCTTACAGGGGCCATAAAGTATCCAAAGGGTTCGTATAGCCCTAAAGAGGTCATAAAGTCTTGAAAGCATTCATACAGCCCTTTAATATTCACATAGCCCTTAGAAGCGTCATATATTGCCCTTGAACTATCCCGAGCAGACACTAAAGGCTATAATTCCCTTTAAATATACTGGGAATAATATTTATTAATTATAATAATAGTTTACACACACATTAAATATTGTATAGACATTATACATAGTTCAATAATAATAATAGACTAACATACGTTATTTATTGTATAAATATTACATATATTTTCAGTAATAATAATTTACATGTATACATTAAATATTGTATAGATATAATTTATATTTTTAATAATAATAGTTTGCACATATACATTATATATTGTATAGATATTATATATATTGCAAGGGGCCGGTGCGACGTACCTGGACCGTGTCCTGGGACACGTACCCGTCCAGCTGGCCCGTCCCGTACTGGATGTGGAAGTTTGACCCGTTAGCGACGTACGTCGAGCTCACGTTGTGGTCGTACTGGTTGTGGAACTCTGGGGTACGTTAGAGGTACGTTAGAGGTACGTTAGAGGTACGTTAAAGGTACGTTAGTGGTACGTTANCAATGCTATATATTAGCAAATACTACTGAGTATCGCAGTAATTCTGGCGACGAGAATATCAGAAGAGATTCGTGACAGTCTGGGACGATAGAGTAGCGTGAAGTCTTCAGTTCCAAAGCATTGATCAAGAAACAAATGGTGAGCCTAGAATATTGCACTGCAATTAGTTGACAAAAATTGTACTGTACCGTACTGTACTGTACTTCACCTGTCTCTTATACACATCTAGATGTGTATAAGAGACAGTAAGTGGGTCATGGGTAAGTAGGTCATGCGTAAGTGGGTCATGCGTAAGTGGGTCAGTAAGGATACGTACGGCAGGCCAGGTCAATGATGCTGCAATCCTTCGAAGGAATCCACAGGTTCGAGGATCCTGTGTCGAAGATAACACGGAATTCTTGTTCGGGGGTGCCCACTCCTATCAGCCCGTAGTACTGCGCCTGTAACGGTAATAATAATAACAATTATTAACATATAATAAATTCAATTATTAATAATTAAGTCATTAGACCGGTCGCCGATTCGTAGCATTGCAGAATTTTTTTAGCTTGTTGTGGTCTCGAACACGCAACTCACTGCTTCAATTTTGCTGTGCTTAACCGCCCGGTCTACTAGCCGATTCTGATCAGAATTGTTGTAGGCAGCTGGAATTGAACCTACAGTTCAGTGCTTCATTCCTGGTACTATGAACGCCTGTGGTGACAATAGTTGACAGTAGTACTGTGCCTGTGGTGACAATAGTTGGCAGTAGTACTGTGCCTGTGGTGACAATAGTTGGCAGTAGTACTGCGCCTGAGGTGACAATAGTTGGCAGTAGTACTGCGCCTGTGGTGACAATAGTTGGCAGTAGTACTGCGCCTGTGGTGACAATAGCTGACAGTAGTACTGTGCCTGTGGTGACAATAGCTGGCAGTAGTACTGTACTTGTGGCGACAGTAGTGCTCCTTCTTTTAGTACAATAAAATATAAGAAAAGAAACTTATAAATAAATAAATTGATCAGTTCTTAGTAAAATAATTAATACCAATTTAACAGTAGAACTAATCCCTCACATCAACGTAGTTCTCGATGTCGACGATGCCGTCCTCGCGCGCGTCCACGCCATACTTGCTGGCGAGGGCAGCGAACGCCGCCCTCACGTTAGTCAGCTGACGCTTGTGCAGAGGGATCCTGCCCTCGGATTGTTAATTAGTTAGTTATAGGTTATGATAACTTTAATAAAATGATCCTGCCTTCAGATTGTTAATTAGTTATTTGTTTATAGGTTATAATTTTATAATTAGTTTAATTATTATAATGATCCTGCCCTCGGATTATTAATTAGTTATTAGTCTATTGGTTATGATTAATTAATTATCTATTGTTAATAATTAATTAATTATTTATAGGTTATAATTTGTTGAAATAATATTAATGATCCTGCCCTCGGATTGTTAATTAGTTATTTATAGGTTATGATTACTTTAATTATTATAATGATCCTGCCCTGGGATTTTAATTACTTATATATAGGTTATGATTACTTTAATTATAATGATCCTGCCTTCGGATTATTATTTAATTATTTGTTTATAGGTTATAGTTAGTTTAATAATTATTACAATAATCTGACATCGGAATGTCAATTAGTTATATGTAGGTTATAATTAGTTTCATTATTATAATGATCCTGCCCTGGGATTGTTAATTAGTTATTAGTTATCTATATGCTATGATTAATTTAATTATTGTAATGATCCTGCCCTCGGCTGGTTGATTCTTAATCATTTTTCTGCGAATTATAATTAATACATTTTTAAAAACATTAACTAATAAAACATGCAATAGTGGGAAGTGTTCTTACCTTTCGATTTAATGTGGATATATCAAATATTAAATATCTAATTAAATTGTTAGAAATTATAATAAATTTGAACATTTGATTATTATAAATTTAAAACTGTTTAATTTGAGAAGTAGGATTTTTTAGGATTAATTATATTTAAAAAATAAATAAAATTCTTCTGAAATTTGATTAAAATATTGGATATATTTTATATATTATTATTCAATGATATATGAAATTTTACTTAGTTTCTATTATCATATATAAAATATAGAATTTTTTATCATTTTTCCAAGATTTATTCAAGAAAATATCTTCTATTTCTTTAAGAAAATTGGAACTGATTTTCACATTTTTATTTTGGAAATTTTATTTGCAGTTTTTTGCTAATTTTTTTTTAATTCGTTAAATTGAGAGTGATTTTCCCATATAATAAAAAAAATTAAAATTGGTTTGAAAAACTTTAATGAGGTAACATCATTTTTTACTATAATGATAAGGATTCTGTGCAAATTTACATATTGATCCTCTTATGGAAATTCCTATGGCGGAAAATATGGCTGCCTCTTGATTTAAAAAGAGATAATACAAAGAAAAAATGTTTATATTGTATATATGCAATGTATATTGTGTATATGCAATGTATATTGTATATATGCAATGTATATTGTGTATATGCAATGTATATTGTATATATGTGATGTATATTGTATATGTGCAATGTATATTGTATATGTGCAATGTATATTGCATACATGCAATGTATATTGTATATGTGCAATGTATATTGTATATATGCAATGTATATTGTATATATGCGATGTATATTGTATATATGCAATGTATATTGTATATATGCAATGTATATTGCATACATGCAATGTATATTGTATATGTGCAATGTATATTGTATATATGCAATGTATATTGTATATATGCGATTTATAATGTCTATATGAGATTTATATTGTATATATACAATGTATATTATTTATATACAATGTAAATTGTGTATATGCAATGTATATTGTTTTATTGTAATGATTAAATCGTGCTTAAATTACAAATTCATCATGAATTAAAAATAGAAAAAATGTCGAATATATTTACTATATATTAATCGAAAATATTTGCGAGATAAGATCCACAATCAGTTTAAAATTATAGAATTGTAAAATTAATCGAGAAGAACCACATTAATGGGAATTAAAAAATTTAAAATTTGAGCAGCGTATAGATGTATATCACGTGTATTGTTCATGTATAGTTCATACAACAGGAAAATGTCATTGTAAATTTTTGAAATTCTTAAAACTTCTATTAAACAAATTTAAATACATATTATATATTGAATATACGTTATATCTATGAGTTTATGATGGACTATTGTAAAATTTTAGTAAATCTAAGCCTTTTTCGATCTTTTTAACATGTCGAATTGTTTACTTACTCCTAAAACAATATAAAAATTTGAAATGTGTTCATAATTTTGTTATAATATCAGATGGTCAAAATAATTTATCGTGCGTGTAAAATATCATATTTAAAGGTATAATAGAATATGTGTAATTTAGGTTAGCTTTATTAAAAGTATTATCGAACAGAAGGGATTAAAACACATACGATTTTATTAATGTACTT